GTCCGCGTTTAAATCGGATGTATGGACTTACTTCTGATTTGTAAACAAGGAGGGGATGCAAGTAGGGATGCACCAAAAATATAGGCTACATATAATAATAATAATAATAATAATAATAATAATATACATGGCGTGCCGCGTCGCTCCGCGCCCGGCAGTGTTCAGCGCGCATGCTTCACTTTCCTCGTCACTGCGCGGTTTGACGCTCCACTCAATATTCCAATCTATGAATGTGCATTCCGCTCGTGTACCGCTCATGCTCATCGGTTCTGAAGGGTCTGCACAACTTTTCAGTACAATTTCAAGGTGCACTGTTCAAAATACCTGTAGTAGCACAGCAGTGCATACCTGTTTACATTTAATTAAGGTGGACTAGACTAGACTGTAATACAAATAGTTGAGTTTGCCAGGTGCATACAACATTTATGACAGGTTTTCATGAAAGTGTTGGTCAGTTTTTCTGCTTGACAATCCCATTTTGCACTGCAACAATAAAATTGAAGTGAGATAAACAAACTGAGAAATATTTATTTTTAGTTAAAACAGGTGTTGTCAAAGTTTTCCTTTGGGGACATAATTTGAAGTTGGAAAAAGGTAATAAATTGCAATATATCGCAGAATATCGCAATATATTTAAAAGCGCAATAATATTGTATCGTGACACAAGTATTGTGATATCGTATCGTGAGGCCTCTGGTGATTCCCACCCCTAATATATATATATATATATATATAGGGTTTATATCGGCCATCGGCCACCCTGCTCTCTAAGATATCGGCATCGACCATCAACCATCAAAAAAACAATATTGGTCAACCACTAAAACCGTTCAGTAATATTGTTACATTTTAGATGCAATGTTGTCAATATTGTCTGTTTTTGATTCATAAAGACTCGCGACTGAAAATTGTTCCAATCAGAGTCACAGCAGAACTGTTGAGTGTCTCTGATCAACACACAGCAGACGTTCATTACTGAATGAATCCACGCTTTTGGACGAATCAAGTGATTCAGTGACTCATTCATAAAGACATTGTTTCTGAGTGAATAAGCTGTTTGAACGAATCTGTTGAATGAATGACTCACTCAAAAAAAAAAACTTGCTGGCTTACTGGTGGTTTTAGAGTCACATTTGGAGTATATATATTTTTTTTATCTCATAGCATATGAGATATTGTGTGTGTGTGTGTGTTTAAAATCTATTCTCAAAATGTTGTTTCCTCTCCAGAATGTCCCTACTTTAGGAGTGTCTGCGCTCAATCTGGCAACATACCTGTGTGATGAGGTGAGCTTAGCAGGCTTTGGCTATAACCTCAGCCAGAAAGACGCTCCTCTCCATTACTACGACCACAGACTCATGACATCCATGCTAAAGGAAGCCATGCATGACGTGCAGACCGAGACGACTTTCCTCAAGCGTCTGGTATCATCAGGCAGTATTACTGACCTCACGGGAGGAATCCACTGCAACTTCTGTTCAAGATGACTGTCTTCTGTTGAGACACAGACTCTCTCAGTGGCACGTGTGAGGAAGAGTTCACACAAGTGAGGGAATAACTTAAAAACAATCATTGAAACACTGCTAATGAACTGCTGAGTATTTTACCGTTTACAGCTGTGATACTGATACTCTGAATGTTCTATTTTATATCAAAACTAATATCACAAAAAGATTAAGGTTTTAGATTAAACTTTTAATTTTCAGTTTTAGTGTCTTTTGTTTTAAAAAGATGTTTTGCCAAAGTAAATTATTTTATTTAAAGGGGTCCTATTATGCTTTTTCACTTTTTCAACTTTAGTTAGTCTGTAATGTTGCTGTTTGAGCATAAAAAAGAGCTGCAGAGTTACAAAGCTCAAAGTCCACTTCAAAAGGAGATATTTTATTTAACAGAAATCACTTTTCAAAAACTACAACGAAC